GGTGTAGTCCTCTAATTTCTCTTCCATTAACAAGATCTTTCCTAGATCCTCCCTTAACTTAAGGAGATAAGGAGGCTCACAGAAGACGCCTTTGCACCACTGTTTACTAGTGTAGACTTCTTTTATAGATGAAATTTCTTCTACAAAAAGACAGCTCTTTAAAATTATCTCAGTGTCGACAGTTTTTCTAAATATGCCAAAGAAGTATATTTTAGGGTGGCATATTTTGGTTCTCCAGTGTTAAAACGCATATATGAACGTGTGGAAATGGAACAGTGTCATTATGATCTCTGAAATAATTTATTTGAATTGTTCACCTACAGATCAAGGCAGGCAACTAATCTTCACTTAAACTACCCAAGTAAAATTTACCCAGTTTTACCATAAGCAAACAATCTAGACTCATTACCCTTTCAAGATCACCTCTGCTCTTACCAAATTCAAAGGCCCCTTTTCTCCTTAAAACTAAGCCAGCTGGCCAATGCAAATGAAGAGTTTATTATGTTTTATACTGTCCCTCGTATTCTCAAACAGCCACACCGAGGATAAGACAGCATTCTGTTCTACTCAGCCCACGGACCCTGAACGACAGACCACTGTTAATATTTGCTTGCACACATACTCTCTTCAATCCAAAAAAACAAAAACAAAAACAAAAAAAACCCCGATGTAATATCTATTATACCTTAACGGTAGTATATTTTATGACTTCTAAAATTATATTTAACTAAATAATCTATTCACATAATTAGAATATGTAAAGATGTAACAAACCCAAAGAAAATCTGTTTTATTTCTACAGATTCCAAAAATATATCATGAATCCAACAAGTGTTGTATAAACTATGATAACATCATTATGTTTATAATAATCAAAAGATTGGGAGCTGGTCAATTTTCAAACATTAAAATTCTATAAAAGTGAAAGACAACTATAACCCAAACAATTTTTGATGGTTCCAGGTGGCTCTCAGGTAACTTTAGTGATTCTGGGCCTGCTAACAATAGATAATAATTGTCACCATCTGAACAGAAGATGTTAAAACACAAGGTCATAATACTAGCTGGGCCTGAGATATAGCAAATTAAAAGAACTCTACATCTTGAAGTTGGAATTCCACAAATTTATCACTAAAACCCAGCAGTTTAATGAGTAAAGCTACAAAAACAATTCAACTGATAAGGCCAGTGAGATGGCTCAGGGGTTACTGGTGCTTGTGGAGCCAGGACTGTCAACTTGAGCTCCACTCCCAGGACTTACACAGTGGAATGACTCCTGCAGGCTGTCCTCTGAGCACACGTCAGCCAAGGTATGCACATGCTTATATACGTAGTGCAGTGAGTAAGTAAAATGTTGATGAGAAATTAACTTATAGAAAATAGAATTCGACGATTTTTATCATGATTCCATTAGCACAAAGTAGTTGCAATCAACAATGGACCTTATAAACTTGATGTCCTTATCTAAACTCACTTAGCTCTAGAACTCAGAATTTCTTCAGAATACCTGCAAAGCAGCAAAATACCTTTCCATTCTAGAATAATGAAACTGGAATGACGGTTTCTCGGAGAAAGAGAATTTTCTTCCGAGACCCAATGTTTGGTACTAGGATCTATATAAGAAAAAAAAAGGCAATAAAACAGATGAGCAAAAGGAAGAGGAATGATGCACAAATTTATAATTTGCATGCATGGGTGCCATACAAAAGATGAAGGTCAAAAAACGGCCAGAACCGGGTAACTAACTGGTGGTAGTGCTGACCTGGTGTGCTTGAGGCTCAGGATGGATTGAATGTCAGCACTGTGCATTGGAGATGGGGCAGGCTTACAATTTTGAATGACAGAAAGAAATAGGGGCTTGAGAAACAAGGGGTAAGGGTAATAGGTTATGGGAAGATGAATAGAAGAGATGCATTTCAGAAGAGAGACTGTCTCATACAGGCAAAAGTATCAATAAGATCCTCAAAAGACCATATGGCATCCTCAGAGTATGTGACATTGTGGTAATCTGGGAGAAGGTGGATGGATCACCCATTCTCTCCTAAATCCAGCTAGGGTAGACAACAGAGCCTTCAGCAGGCTCAAAAACTGTTTATTTCCCTAAAAGATTTTCTTTCCAGATAGATACATTTCACACACTAGGACAGCTTTCCAGAGCCACTCTCTGCATGAACTGTCACTCAGAGAAACCACCTGGAAACATGCCAAAAGAGCACACTTTGGGGTAGCACTATTTAAATGTCCCCCCCATCATTCAGGGAAATGTAATCACCAACTCTAACTTGATATATAGATCCAGTTAATGTCCATGATAAGCCAAGACAGAACAAAAAACATAAGCATGCCATTTCCACTAAATGCCCATTAAGGCAAATAATTGTTTGTATATTTATCTAGGATTTTAAAAAAAAAAAAAGTCTGGAAGAATGTAATAATAGCAAGGGAAAAAGAAAGAGCACGCATCCTAATCAAACCTAATGAAACACAGAAAATAATGCCCAATATTTATTGTGCCCTTTCTATGTGCCTAGCACATATCCTCACCAACATGCCATAATACAGGTGCTTCCTTTTTCTTTCCTTTGAAGTGGGGTTTTACCACGTAGCGCTGGTTGTCCTTGAACTAGTTATGTAGCACTGGCTGGCCCTTAACCAGCACTTACCCTGCCCCCTGCCCTACCTCCCAAATGCTATGATTATTGATTACTAGTGTACCACACCCAGTCAGGGCAGCTTCACTTCAGTGGTTGAAATACAACTCCTGTCTCTGTTACAACTATAGCATAAATTATGTTTTCACAATTATGTAATTCTACTTCCTTTTAAAAAAACTAAAATCCACTTTAACATAAGAAAAACACCACACTTAGAAAATATTTTTCACACAATTCACTTAAAAACACAAAAACCCTTTGGAATTCTAAAAGCCTCAACTAATTTTAGCACAAAAATAGAACATTAGTTTAATCTAAGATGCTCATTTAATATTTTAGTCTAGATGACAGTTCTGTCTCTTTGCAACGAAAGGAAACGATTAGCATTTTACTAATAATGCAGTACAATATTTTTAACTTTTAAATAAAAGCTTATGCAGTTTTGAATCACGTATAAAGCCTTCAAAGTTCTCTATCGTTACAAAGGAACAATATCACAAACAAGCCAAAAATTATTTATAGTTGGCACTAGAAGGCTTTAGAAATAAACAATATGGATGTGATAAAGTAGGAAAATAACTGAACACTCCAGAGTCAGGCCCACCAAACCTGGCTCTGATAGCAACTAGCAATTTAGTCCCTTCAAATGCTCTGGGCCTTGGTTTCCTAATCTACAAAATAATCATCTCCACCTTCTCCTCTTCCAACTCTGAAAGAAATGACTCACCGGCATCTCTTCCCCAAGCCTCTCATTCTCATTTTGTGTAAGTTATTACCATTACTTCACAGCCAGTAAACTTGCTTGAGGTCCACACTCCTAGGAAACTGCCCACTCCAAACAAGGTGAAAAGGGAAAGAAAGCCTCCCTTCCCCACTAAGGGTTTGCCACAGATGGTTCGGAGGTGAATGATGTAGAAGCCATTATAATGTCAAAAGGTGTCAGGTTTCAATATTTTAAGCTGCTGTTTTGTATGCCAGTACATTCTCCCTAAGGACAAATAGTAAAATCCAAGGACAATATATAATTATTCATTACTTATTCAAGTACTTAGAAGGTCAATTAAAAACATTAGCACCTTTTTGCAGAAATGTTTGAATTACCTGGCAAGATATGCTCCAGAATTTTTTCTCTAAATTTTAAGTACTCTCTAATCAAATGAGTTTTCATACTGTAAACCACAGACAATTCAACAATAATAAAATAAGTAATATAGATGTGACTTTTAAAAAAGACTAAAGACTAACCATGCTTACTCCTTTCAATGGAAATGAAAATGGTAATATGCCTGCAGGACAGCTCCAAAGGTGAACTCTGGACAACAGCCATTGCCTCATGTTTGTGTGTCTCGCTTCCGTTTCTAAGTCAGTCTCAAAATCGGACCATGAATAGGAGACAATATATTAAGATTAAAGTACGCATCCAACCGAGATTCCCAACTGTTAGAGCACTCTTTCTAATACCAGCATCTTTCTTATTTCAATACTGAAAGAAAAACCATTTTTAAACTTCTATGGAACATGTAGCTCAATTTTACATGGCCTTGTAAAGAAGCAGGAAAAAGCAAGCATGACTTATTAGTCTTCTAGGATAAACGTCAGAAAATCACAATAGCACAGTCCAGCCTAATGTTAACTTTGAAAGAAGCAAGCCCCCAGTGTGGATGGAGAAGCTGCTACAAACATTTAAATGTGTAGTTTTAAGAATGTCCAGGAAAACTGCTAACTCCAGTACATACATCAAGTACATACAAACAAATGAAAATAAAGGATCACCGACAAAGTCCAACAGCAAGCCACCTTTTGCTTAGAACGCCAAAATATCAAAACCTTGTGACTGATTTCCCCAAGCCTTCAAAATCGAGAACCAAACCAAGAGGTACTTACGCTGTTTCTTAGCATCCTTCTGTCAATGTAACTCCCTCTCCACAAAGTCAGTCCGCTTTAGCTACTCGGATGCCCAAACCCAGCACCAAAGAATCATTTATTAAGAGTTCAAGGACTTGAAGCGGGGTCTTCCTTGCGACCACCTCCGCATCCTGTACTAACCACCCCAGGTTTAACCCCCAGGAGATGCTCCAGTCTTTTCCCGCATCCACGCTCCCCGGCTCCTTCTTTCCTCTCCCGGTAGACCTTTTACCGTCGACCTTGAGGACCCTCACAGGTCGTAGCTCTGGAGCTCCAGGTGAACTAGCTGGTTCCCTCGTCCCTTGCATTGGGTACCCGACGACCTCCCCCACCCAGTCCCCGAGACCCCGATGACGACTGCCCTCCAACTAGCCCCAGATGACCCCTTCTTCCCCTTAGGTGCCCTGACTCCAAACGAAAAGCAATTCCTCCGAAACGTACCGAGAGCCTACTGCGCGCAAGCTCCCACTACGCGCGGTCCCGTGCGCAGGGGCTCAATGCCCCGGCTTGTCTTCCTCTTCCCGGTCGTTCCATCCCGGCCCAAGGGCCGTGCCGCCTCGCAGAGGTGCGGAGGCGCCCGCCCGAGGAGGACTGCGCCGGGCGTGGAGACCCGGGCAAGGAGAGGCTGCCGCTTGCGGGCGCTGGGCGACCGCGGGGGACACTCGGCGGC